TCCCTATTTGTCAGTTGGAAAAAGTATACTCACATACTTCACGGTTAACACTTTACAAACCAATCTATAACTGGGTGTATTTGTCATGGGTTTTCCACGCTTTCCAGATGTTTACATTTTAAAAAAATAACTCTATCAATCTTTCTAAAACAACTCATCATTTTAGGACTGCACTAAAACAAGCTATTTCTAACATTAGAGGGTTTAAAAATAACCTCTGGATAATACTAATGGTCCAAAAAAGGAAAAACAAAAATCACAGCCAAGGAGACAGCAGTACCATCGTACTGAGCTAGATGGTAGCATTAACAAACAGAAAGCAGCAAACTACATGCCACCTTTCAAAGGAATTCTACTTTTAATACAACAGAAAATCTACTGTTTGGGTTTAGACCTACCAGATCTCAGCTGCAAAAATCTGGACGACCACTAGACAGTAGTAAAAAGTTAGTCAACCTTATCTTTGCTGCTTACCAAGTGATAGGTAAAAACTTACTTAGTGATAGTTTGAATTTTTGCAACCTACATCTACTAGGCTTATTGTGCTAGAAAGCAAAAAGTTAAAGCTTACTGCATGTACAGTACATGACTTTTCCTAACAACTTTAAGCACTAGGCTAGATATACCAGACTTCCTTAAACAGCAAGGATTGGTAACTACAATTTGACAGATCTGAAAATGGTCAGATATCTACTTTCATGTCATCATTTCTAACATTTGTGTATGAAAACGTGTTCCTTTCTTCCCATAAAACACAGATTCACTAGTCATACTACTCATTGTCAGGTGATTGCTTACCCCCTTCTGTTTTTGCAGTCCCACTTTTATTGGGTTTCTGAAGATGGTTGTGTTTACTTTTAACAAATTCTAAATATGTGATCATATTGTATATTAAAGACTGATTTATTTTGGAATTTGTAACCAAAGTCTTCCATCTGCTGAATGAAACAACTCCTAATGCATCTAATTCTATGCATAGATTTGCACAGCACAATGAAACACAAACTAGTCAATTATATTTTAAACTAATTTATTGTGTGAATCCAGCCCATTGTTACCTTATGGTGCAGGTATCAGATAAATCAATACAACTGAGTTAAGTAAACCATAGTTCAGTGAATCATGGCTATATCCAGTCAACAGAACCAATAACTGCAATCCTATGCATATTCACTCAATAAGTTTTAATATCTTCAGGGCCAATCATTGCTTAAGAATATCTAGATTTGCTGTTAATGTACAATTAGCTTCATTTTTATTGGTTGTTTAAATTTACAGTACAGTAGAGGAGGTGCTCTTCAGGCTCACCTCCTTTGCAGGGCAAACGGTGCTGGCTGTGTTGGGCACGACAGCCCTTGATCACCTCCCAACAGCCACCGTCTCTACGAACAGGGAAGGCCACCTCCAGGACGTGGCCGCAGCTCCGGATTGTGTCGAGGATTCCACGAACCCGCAGCACTCGTTCATTCTCGTCCTTAGGAGTGCGAAGCCGCTTCACGAGCTCCTTTTCAACCACGCGCGCCGCCCGATCGCAGTATATTTCGACTATCTCCAGAAAGCTAGGTTCTCCGTCAGCCTCCTTTGCGTGCTTCCACCGGCAGGGCACGAGCACTTTCCCGCGACTTCGGCCTAGAATGTCCCCGCCCCTTGCGACTGGTTCCTGTTCCCATGGAAACAAGGCCTGGTACTTCTGAAGCCCTACCGAATGCCGGGATCCCACTCGGGACTGCCACGAATAATCCCACTCAAAGGCCGTTTTTCGCAGCCCACCCCGCGCTTTCAGCAACCACCACATTGGAAACGCAAAGAACGGAGGGCACTGCCCTTTTTATTAGGCAGTACCGGAGCAAATTTCACTCGTCTCTGTCACGGACAACGACAGGTGAGACGAAGCGAAGGGACTGAGTGGAAGGGGGATATCGAATGGCGGAATTTTGATTGGACAGGAGTCTGTCCAATGGGAAAAAAGGGCGGGAGAGAAACCTTGCTCGCGGGGGTAAGAGCAAGAGAGCAGTAAGAATGTAGGCTTTACGTCTAATGGTGAATAGAAAGCTGTAGAGAGTAGACTTAACACAGTGTTTTTCGAACTTGACAACTTTAAGAACTTCCAGAATTCCCCAGCCAGCATGAAAAAGAGGAATAGGATGGTTGTGATTGATGAGATCTTCAAAAAGAAAGAGCTGGGAAAATTTTAAAAAAAATTACAAAGTATCACATGGTACATGGATGTGGTGGAAGGGAGGGTGTAGATGTAAAAAGGTGTGAGGTAGACATGTATGAATAGTGAGTAGTGTGGGAGTAAATTAGATTTAGCTGTACTTTATCTTTTTTCTTTCCTCATTTTCTTTTGCATACTATTTCTTATAACTTTTCTATGATTTGCATAAGGTTGCTTACAGAGAATAGCATAATGGTAGCATGTACATAACTCACATTCTCCACTTTCCATTTTTACTTTCATAATGAGCTATTCTCAGTCTTGTTTACTTCCAGCTAACACAATGTTGTTGTCTGCATAAGTTGTCTAACAGTTTATTAGGCAAGTTTAATGGAACCCCATTTTTTAGTCATTGGATGCAATGAATAAAGCATATGTCCAGTAACCTCCCTAAATATTGGACATGTTACATCCAGTGTAGTCTGTATTGAGGCACCTAAAAAACACAGCCTCTCATTAAATTTAACTTATTTTTGGTGATTTGTATCATGTATAATGATGTCATTACACAAATGATACAAAATATGTCATTTGTATCAATTTATATTGTTCAAGTAATGTCAGCACACTTTATGCAAATTATCTCAATTTGCATGATTTTAATACATAAATGATATAATTTTTGTAATGACATCATACATTGCCACCCAGAGTCACTTGTTCAGATGGGCAGCTGTATAAATGGATTAAATAAATAAATAAATAAATAAATAAATAAATAAATAAATGTGTCTTTTGAATTAACGTTTCATTATTCAGTCTTCCTTGGAAACAATTCCATTGAGCCAATCAACATTTTTTAAATAGTGAATAGCAATAGGACTGGGATACATAATAAGAACTTTTTTTAAGCTTTAAAAAAATTAAGAGGATGAAATTAAAATATTCTCAATTAAAGTTAATTATCTCAGGCTGCTTTGTGGACTGCAAAATATATTGGAAGTTAGGTGATACTGTGCATTTAAGAAAAGTAAAAATGGTTGCTACCAAATATGCAAGGTTTTTTGTTATTTCTCATCAGTTAATGAGAACATGCAATCCTATACACACTTTTCTAGAGCTGGGCACACTGAACTTAATGAGATCTTATTTCTAAGTAGATATATACAGGATACTGCTTTAATTCTCAGATATATGGAATGTAAAGTGGCTTAATATTTCAATTATTTGAATTTCATTCCTGTTAAAGGAAGAATCACACAGTTTTTCATTTACATATGATACAATATAAATACCAAAGGGTATTCAAATACATTTCAAGATTTCATGTTTTTATAGGTCTCTTATTAACTGAATTTACTAAAATATTAGCAAAGTTTCTTTCTCAGAATTAGCAGCTTTTCCATTCCACTCAGTTAAAAGATGCCATATCAAATTCCAGCTTTACTCATTCTCTCAATTCTTTGTTGAGCGTGGTTCACATGGTAGTGATTCTGGATGGGAATGTTTTCATGGCATGGGCTGAACCAGATAGTTTTTCCAGGGACTATATAGTCCAGTTTTTGTTTTTCATTTGAAGAGGTACTATTTGTTCCCTAGTTGGTGGGATGGGGTGGGGATTCTCATTCAGCTTTATGTATAGAAATGTGTAATTAGTATGTTTTCTGTTCTTTTCATGACTGAGCATAATTTAATGGGCACATTTGCATGCTTTCATGCATTCAAGCTGGCATACATAACCATTTCATTTTCACAAAAGCACTCAGGATTGATTAGGCAGAGAGTGATGAGTTTTGTGCTTAAGCAGGATTTGAAGACAGGTATCTATATGAATTCAGTCATTAAGGTTTATACGTATTTATGGTTTAGCTTGATATATGAACTCAGCTAATTGTGCCATGTGAAACAAATCATGGCTTAGTATGATGTGTGAAGTCAGTGATAGTGTATTATAACTTTCACACTTTCAGTCTAAACTGTGCTTGGAGAATTTCACATAATATGAAACCATAAAAGTATCTTTAACAAAACAAGAGGAGAAATCGAGGGGAAATAAATTCACTAAGGAGAAATCAAGAATGGTAAGGGAAGATCAGAAATGAACATTGGTGGTGGAAATCTCAAAATAGCAGCTGAAATTTGAGCACGTGTTTAGTTTCCTAGAGCAATCTAGAACAGTGTTTCTCAACCTTGGGAATTTTAAGATGTGTGGACTTCAATTTCCAGAATTCCCCAGCCAGCTATCTGGCTGGGGAATTCTGGGAGTTGAAGTCCACACGTTTTAAAGTTCCTAAGGCTGGGAAACACTGATCTAGAATGTTGCTAGAGCTTATTTTGTTCACAGTCCTACTCATTCTGGTTGCTGTTTGAGAGTATATAGTATTGAAATCTTTTCCCAGAATCTTTCCAAGCCAGTTTGATCCTAAAGACACCAACCTGTCACTTTGCCCTGGTGAATCATATTTTCCTATTTTTTTAATAAAAGAAAGTGAGAGTTCTCATTTTTGCATGATCTTAGGGTTAATTGGCAGAACATTTATCTTTCTGATTGTGAAGAATTACCTATGTTCATTACTGCAGTTTCATTCTTTTTTGAGATCATGGCTTAATGTAGACATTATTTCAGTAATGTTTCATATAATAAAGCAGCTAGCTTGGTAACTTTTACATTTATTTATTAAAATCATCTTTATACCACCTATTCAGAAGACTTTTGAGTAAATAAATAACATTAGTGTAAAACAACCCACTAAATCACCTTCCCTATACTAAAAACCATTATAAAAATAAAACTAGAAGGTCACCCAATGTTCATCAGCTAGATGCAAACTGCATGTTTGAAAAGTAAGGTTTTCAATGCCTTTCTGAAGTGAAGAATCCAAATGCACCTAAATCCTAAATTTTATGTGCTACTTTCAAATTTAAACACTAAACTAATTTCTCATATTTATTCAGATACACAAGCACTATAACAGCCTTCAGCAATGTCTGTCCTTCCAAGTAGATGGACAAAACACTTTTTTCCATTTGCGAGTGCAGTGCTTATAGTGGGTGTTCATGTCCACTGACTTCTTGATGGATGAGCAGCTTTCAGCAGCATTAATGCAAGCTTTGTCTCTTAAACAATGCACCCACTCTGCAAGGCATTCTATTCTTAACAAGGACTTCATCATTTATTGTCTATTGGTCACACTGCTTGTCTTTCTCCTAGTGTTTTGCAAACATCTGTGGCCTGATATCAGTATGATGAAGAAAGCTCTGAGAAGTAGAACAACTGGCAACCAGACAACCCAAGGAGAAACTATAAAGATTTTATTGAACTGCAGTCACATTGAATTTGTTGTGAAGGAATAAGCTATTTTAGGGCATTTGAATTTTCAGATTTTGATTCCCTTGATAACTCTCAGATAATCCAAAAATGTTTCACTGTTCTCCTGAAAAACCGCAAGTGGAAAAGCATCATTTTGATGCTGTCATATTTCATTGCTTGTTATAACACTTATGTGTATAACAGGATCTACTGAGATATTAATTTTTCATCAGAAATTTTAAAAAGACAGATATGGATATTCCATTTTAGTTCCTCATCATATAAGGGAACACATTGCTAATTAAATGTATCCTTATTAAGTAAATGCAATTTTGGGAAGCCTATCAAAATAATAGTTATTAATTTTAAAAAGTCAGAATTATTGGTTGGTTTAATTAATGTAGTGGTCAAGTTTATTAGTACTAGGAGATCATTCCATTCTTAGGACAAGCCTGAGACCTAGAGAGAAAATTATATTTTTATCCCATCTTTGTATATATATTTTGGTCAACTAAAGGTGGCAATCATATGTAATGCTCCCACTTCCTATTTTCCCCCAACAACAACCCTGAGAGGTGGGTTGGGCTGAGGATGACTGGCCCAAAGTCACCCAGCTGACTTTCATGCCTAAGGGAGGACTAGAACTCAGTCTCTTGGTTTCTAGATGAGCACCTTAACCACTACACCAAACTAGCTCTTGATGATGTATTCTGACCTTTAGTTTTTCAGCATCATTGGTGATCAGTAGGGATCTGCATGTTTCAAAAGTGGTTCAGAAGAAGCAATCAAAACCTTATGCAACATAATGTCTCTCTGCTCTTCATTAAAGTACACATGTCTCTTTCTAGGCCATATCTATTAAGACAAACCAAATCAAAAAGCTATTAATGTCATTGATCAGAAATCCAATATAATAAATAAAACCTAATTAATCATAAATCATTTGATAATGTTCATGTGTAAGCAAGGTAGATAGTCATTCTGTCCTGTGATAGTGACCACATGGCATATCTGTGTCATTAAGTAGCAAAACTTTTGCTGTGCTATTAGTGACTTCAGGATTTCTGTCAGCTATAAAGAAGCAAGCATAAAATTATTCAGTATCACTAGGAATATTTTTAAACATGGCTGGAGTAGCCATTATCTTAAATTTGAATAAAAGGTAGAGCCTAGAAAAACATGCTCCATATATTCAGTCATACCTGATCCACATGGACAAAGCCATGACTGAAGGGAGAACATTAAAGTGAGCCCCTGTAATTGGAATAAGAGAATCTATTTTACAGGTGTGAGCCTCTGTATTTCCCTTAGTGGCTGGGCATCTTTG